GGTTTTGAAGTCAATACAGGAAATTAGAGCATTTTGGGATTAAAAAGAGGAAAAACAAGCCTTTTCAAGAAATGATAGATTTTGACCGTCAATGTTTCGCTCCAAATGAAAAACCCATGGATTGTGAGTGCTAGTCACGATCAGACTATCCGCATTTGGAACTGGCAGTCACAGACTTGTATTTGCTGATGACCTCATGCGATTTAGCAGATGAATTCTGATATTTTCGGTGGGGTAGACGCTATAGTTAAGTACGTCCTCGAAGGTCATGATAGAGGAGTAATCTGGGCTTCTTTTCATCCCACCCTTCCTCTCATCGTCTCCGGTGCAGATGACCGCCAAGTAAAGCTGTGGCGTATGAATGGTATTTTTTCCAGAAATCTTTGCTTTTTCACATAATACAAAACTTACAACCATCTTTGATACACTGAATTGCAATTTTGTAATAATGGAGCTGAGGTAATAAATGTGATGTTTTCAATTTTGTTGCAGAAACTAAAGCTTGGGAGGTGGACACATTACGAGGCCACATGAATAATGTTTCATCTGTAATGTTTCCATGCAAAACAGGACATCATTGTATCCAACTCTGAGGATAAAAGCATTCATGTTTTGGATTCTTGCAGTTCACCCTGAGATTAATTTACTGGCAGCGGGACATGATAACGGTATGATTGTGTTAAAACTTGAGAGAGAACGTCTTGCATTTGCTTTGAGTAGTGATTCTTTGTTTTATGAAAAGGATAGATTTTTGCGGTACTAGGAATATTCAACTCAAAGAGATTCTCAAATTATTCCTATACGGCGTCCTCGTACATCAAGCTTGAATCAAATTCCTAGGACTTTATCATACAGTCCGACAGAAAATGCAGTTTTGATCTGCTCAGATCTGGATGGTGGTTCATATATGTTGTACATCATACCGAAAGATAACGTTGGCAGGAGTGACGTTGTGCAAGATGCAAAGAGAGGGACAGGTGACTTCTCATGTCCTTACTGCACCGCCCGGTTTGTACTAAGCGAGGAAGGAAACATCTGCACGGTCTATGATGTTGCGGTCATTAGCGCAGACACATCTGGTTTGCTATGGTCTCCTTCTCTAGTCTAGTGAGCAATTCAGAACCATATCTTGGAGAGTTTCTGAGGTCCACTGCATACAAAAACCTTTTTTTTTGCCAAAGTTATATTAACTAGTTGGTTCTTATTTCTGATGTAATAAGCAT